TTGTTTGATATTCGATGTTCGTACTGACATTCAATTTAATATATATTTGTGTCTCATAAGATCCATTAATATTATAAATTTATATTCAAACTTTCATTCTTATGGTATGCATTGCGTGAATAAGGAATTAAGTTGTTATAGTGAAACACAACCGTTGAGGTTTTACCTTTATAATAAAAATAAAATAAAATTAAACACATAATTTAGTCGTATATAGATTATCAGAGAAATATATTTTTAAAAAATATATGTATGCAGCGTTGAAGATATAGAAAAAATATCAAGAGTTGGATAATTTTTGACAACATTAATACAATTATTCCTATTATTACAATATTATTGTGGTATTTATTATAAATAAATGGAATAAGGCACAAGTACCCCCCTAGACTATGACCGAAATCTCAGAAATACACCTTAACTAAACTAAGGTCCTATTACCCCCATAAACTTATTTTTTTTGTAATTTTGTACACCTTTTGTCTTACGTGGCACACTCCGTAACTCCGTGCAATTGAGGCGCGTGGGAGATATTTGAATGCCACGTAAGTCAAAAAGTGCACAAAATTACAAAAAAATGGGTTCAGGGGGGTAATAGGACCTTAGTTTAGTTAAAGTGTCTCTCGGATTTTGGTCATAGTCTAGGGGGTACTTCTACCTTTTCCCTAAATAAATTGGAGCAATAACTCTCCAAAGATAACTCTATATTTTTATGTGGGAAAAATAAAAGAAATATTTTTTTACTTTCAATAATAATAAATTAAATGCACATTAATCATATATTCACATTTATTATGATCTCTAATCTCTCTCTGTATATATATATAAAGGAGAAAACATAGGTGTTGTGCCACCTCTCTATGGCCTCCATTCATATTTGTCTTTTTTCTTTTTTCTTTTTTTGACCATTTTTTCCTTCATTATGTAATTATTTTATTTTTAATATCTCAAAAAGTCTTCACATTCAATTACTCAACTTTTCACCTATCACTATAATATATATTTAATATCTTTGGAAAAGGGTCAAAATTACCCCTGAACTAGGTGAAATAGACCACTTATACCCTCTATTACATTTTAGGATAAAAAATGCCCCAACCGTTATCCTAAGAGACGACAATTACCCTTAAGACTTAACAGAAGTGATGTGGCAAGCCAAATGGCACTAAATCCGCCACCTAGGCTTGCCAACTAGGATACCCACTAAAATTTTTGACTCAATTAATAATTCAACCCTAACACATTTTTGTTGGATCAACCCACTAATATTAAGCGGGAAACAAGTTTTCAAAATAGATGATGTTTCCCACGTGACTACAAGCTTTCAAAATAGATGATGTTTCCCGCTTAATATTAGTGGGTTGATCCAACAAAAATGGGTTAGGGTTGAATTATTAATTGGGTCAAAAAATGTAGTGAGTATCCTAGTTCGCAAGCCTAGGTGGCGGATTTAGTGTCATGTGTCTTGCCTCATCACTTCTGTTAAGTCTTAAGGGTAATTGTGGTCTCTTAGAATAACGGTGGGGGCATTTTTTATCCTAAAATGTAACGGAGAGTATAAGTGGTTTATTTCACATAGTTCAGGGGTAATTTTGACCCTTTTCTGTAATATCTTTAATAAAAGAGAAAAGGGACAAATATATCCCCGAACTATCACAAATGGTATGTTAATACCCTCCGTTATACTTTAGGGTTGTATATACCCTTACCGTTACTCTTTTGGGTTGTGTATATCCTTAAAACTAACGGACGGACACGTGGCTTCATCTCAACCATTTACTCGATTTTATTTGTTTATTTACCTAAAATTAAAAGATCCATATGACCCACAACCAAATAACCCTTCATCTTTTTTGTAAGGAAATATCATTGATTCCTTGCTTATCCAAAGAAAAAGAGAAATAAAAAAAAATTCATCTAGAATAAACTCAATGCATCCTCCTTAAAGTTTCAGACAACAACAATTGATCAACCTCTTTCAACAACACAAATAGATTGTAAGAATATTTTCAATCCTGTGCAAAATTAAAATAAAAAACTTTTCAACAACAACCACCACAAAATATGATGCACTTGCTTCAATTCACCCGACCCACAACAAATAAATTTCAGCTCAATTTTTTTGATTCAATTGCAAACCCAATTTAAAGCTTGAACCTTTATCCATCAATGGTGGTAGTATTTTTAACCTGTTTCAACAACAACTAATCAATTAAGTTCAAATTTTCTTATTTGATTGCAAACCCACTTTTCTTCAAGCTTTGTCCATCAATGATGGTAGTATTTCCAACCCCTTCAACAACAATAAATCAATTTAAATTCAAATTTTTTGTTTTTATTGAAGACTCACTTTTAAACTTGAAGTTTTGTCCATTACTGGTGGTAGTATTTCCAACCCCATTCAACAACAAATTAAAATGGGTCTCTTGTTTTTCAATGAAAGCACATGCTACTGTCTTTGTTTTAATGAGATTTGAGAACGAGCTTCAAATGAAGATGTATCGAAGAACAGTTTTGTCTTTTGTTTGATTTAAAAGGTTTTGGCTTATATTTTAATGGAGGAGGGCTCTTTGTTTTTTGTTTTTTTTTAAATGACATGGTGTTTTAATTTGGGTCATGGGTGGGTAAATTATGAAAAATGGGTGTATCTTTTAAATTTAGGTAATTAAACAAATAAAATCGAGTAAATGGTTGAGATGAAGCCACGTGTCCCTCCATTAGTTTTAAGGGTATACACAACCCAAAAGAGTAACGGTAAGGGTATATACAACCGTAAAATATAAGGGAGGGTATTGACATACCATGATAGTACGGAGGTATATTTGTCTTTTTCCCCTTAATAAAATAAGAAATAACTACCAATAACTCACACATATATCTTCAACTTATAATCTTAATAATATTCATAACTCCTTTTTTTTAATCGTCATAACCCCAAAATTAAATTTATTAGTTTATGACACCTTATGGTATTCCTCCTCTTTTTTCTATATACATTCATATTTTGTAGCAAGAAAAATTTCATTCAAAGTTATTCTTTCACTTCTCCATCACCATATCATACATTAGGGTGAGGAAGAAGTGCTAATCATCACATCATATGGTTGCTTTCAACAAAGTCGTAAAGAATTTATGGGTAAAAATGCTTCTTTTAATTTTTTTAATTATATTTTTTTACTTTAATAATTTATGTGATGTTATTTATTTTGTTTAGTCAATTTAACTAATCTTTGAAACTAAATTGAATAAACTCAATCCAAATAAAATCATGGAGTAACTAACAATTTCCTATAAGTATATTCTTAATTTGTGCTTGTAGGGTGAAGAAGAAAGTTTAGATACAATAGTAGAGAAAATTGTGAATTTGGAAAGAAGATAATGTAGAGTCTTTACAATAAAATTACTATTATTGTAATTTGATCTTTTTAGTTTTTTCTTTCCTCTTTTGTATATTTCATTTATGTACTTTATTGAAGAACTTAAAATATAAAGTAATTTTTTTTCTTTTTCTTTTATATGACTATAGTTGTACATACATAATTCATTGGATTAAATTATGATTCGCTCTTCTGAATTTTTATTATGATAATTTTTTGCAACATTCTAAAACAAACATTATGTACTCGATGTTACTGTTTATTTGCATGTTGAAGTGCATTTCTAAATACGACACTACGAATAGAAGCATTTTAAAGAGCGAAAATTTGATAACTTACAAAATAAAAATGTTATCCAAGCAATGAATTAAAAAAATTGACAACAAACTTGATTATTTGTATAATTTTAACGAAAAACTAAAGAAACTATAAACTATGCAATAGTTTCATTTTCAAAAAAAAAAAAAAGACAAAGATCCTATTTATTTTTTCCTGATTGTTTTTGATAAATTTCACTATATTTTTATTTATTATTATTTTAAAAAAGTGTCAATTATTGCTCTCTCCATTCATTTCATTTATGTACTTTATTGAAGAACTTGAAATATAAAGAATTTTTTTACTTTTATTTTATATGACTATAGTTGTACATACATAATTTATTAGGTTAAATTATAGTTAGTTCTTCTGAATTTTTATTTTGATAATTTTTTGCAACATTCTAAATCGAACATTATGTACTCGTTGTTACTGTTTATTTGCATGCTGAAGTGCATTCCTAAATACGACACTACGATTAGAAGCATTTTAAAGAGCGAAAATTTGATAACTTACAAAAAGAAAAAAAAACGTTTTTCAAGCAATGAATTAAAAAAAATTGACAACAAACTTGAGTTTTGTATAATTCTAATGAAAAACTAGAGAAATAATGAAAAGCTAAAGAAACTATAAACATTATATGCAATACTTCCGTTTTAAAAAAAAGACAAAATCCTATTTATTTTTTTCTTATTTTTTTTGATAAATTTCACTATATTTTAATTTATTATTATTATTATTATTAAAAAGTGTCAATCATTACTCTGTCAAACACTTGTAAGACCCGTGAAAGCTTCTGTGGACTCCCCAGAACTCCTCAGCTTCCAGGAGAACCTTCACAGATCGTGAAGGATTGTATGGTATGTGGAAAACTCTCGTTAAAGGCCTCCATCAATTTTAAGTCAAGGTTATTTGAGTCTTTTTTTACGCTTTTAATTCCTATACTACATCGTTTTGACCTATTCTAAGTGGGATTAAGGGTTTATCCGCCCAAAACTCCTCATTCACTCATAACCTCCCCTAATTAGATTTCTTCTTTATCGAGTTTCCTCTCAAGCAAGAACTAGGGTTCCAAATTTCAATTCTCCATTCCAAGAATCAAACCAAGGTTTCCACTCCATGTATGTCTTAGGAAATTATGGAACATTCCTAAACACAATGTCTTTAGAAACTCTAATCAATGTGTGCTAATTCATCTCTTGTGGTTCCACAATTTTATCATTTGGAAAACTGGATTTTGGATGTATCATGTATGGGCTTTATTATGAATGCAAACTCAATCGAGACTGAACTCCATGCTAAATAAATAGCAAACAGAGTGGGCTTTCAAGCTTTACATATCAATATTGATGCAAAACAAGTATTAGATAGTAACAAGAATCAATTATATGCTAATCTCATCACTAATTGTAGGCACTTCCGCTAATTAATCCAACCATCCAACACGCGTACATGGAGCAAAATGTTGTGGCAGATGCACTTACTAAACAAGGATGTCGTCTTACAACTCTGCTAGGCTCTACAAATACCACCATATGCATGATAAATAACACTCATCTGCAAATTCTTCTGCAACACCTTGCTCTTTGTATGACCCTTTTGTTATAAATGTAATACAATATCCTTAACATAAAAAAAAATAAAAAAAAATCACAGTTAGTATAAAATGTTAAGTTCATGTGTGATCGGTAAATTTTAATGTTCATTGTATTTGTAAAGTTATAAAACTAAATATTGTATTATCATCGATAGTAAAGTCATAAAGTTTTTTTTTTTTTTATCATTAAAATTAATTATGTGTTTTCTTCCAACATTAATCTCTTTTGCCATTTGCATTTCTACATAAAGAAAGAAATCTGCAAATCAACAAGGCAATATTCTTCATTTGTTCAAACTTTATAGTTTTGCCAGAAAAAGATAGCCACGCCATCAATTGAAATCTGTATTTCAGTAGTATGATTTTGACTTACCGTCGAAACACCAATCCAATGATTAAGAGTATTGAGAGCTTTCCCCGATTCATGTGTCATACGGGCCACGGCTACTCCTTCAGCTAAGTTACCAACTCTCCCACTGACTAATAATGCTGCTGAGGCATTCAGTATCTAAATTTCCATTTACACAGAGGCATGACATGATCAGTAAGAGTTCCAATTCTATAAATTGTTATGAATTTACAATAACAAGTAATCTTTCATAGCAAGTCCGATATAATAACTTAAAATATCCAGTTAAGGCATTAATTTTTTATACTGTCAATATATGAAACTTCTAATCCATAAAAAGGCTAATCATAGTCATCCTTTATAAGAAACACATTGTCCCATTCAAGTAAAACACTTGTAGTACTGGAGACATAGACTTTGTTGTTCAGGATAAAGCAAGACTTTGCACAAAAATATTTACCAATCCAAACAATCGATGAACAGTACATGAGCTGAATTTTGCTCCACCGTCTACTAGCTGATGATTGATGACCTTACGTGTCACGAGTCTTAACTAATATTGCTACGTCTAAGATGTCGTGTGAGGTTCACGTATAACATATGAGAGAAAAAGGTATAATCTATGTAGTGTCACAAATAACCACTAAGGAAAACACTTAGCATGAAATGATCAAAGAGGAATACAATGACTTACTAATGCATCTGCAATTGGCCCCCTTTCACCCGAAAGCACACGCCTTAGTACTTCAGCATTGTACTCCGGCCCTCCCCCTTTAAGGTTCCTTAAAGTGCAGCGAGGTATACCAAAATCAACTGCAATAATACAATACACAAATGTTAGTTATAGAATTTGATGCTGAGAAAGCTAATGATTCATTCTTATTTTCTTCTTTTGGAGTCAAAATGCAACAACAACTGAGATGTGCCTCAGAATGTTACCTCATTTTCTTTTGTATTGCAATCAGTAGTAATTAACTGCACAAGCAATCAAAAGAAAGCGCGTAGTTGCAAAGCCAGTTAAAGTGCTAATCAAGTGAGCTTTTACTATTGATGATGCATCATCTCTACTTCGACTAATTTTAGTATGGGCCAATGTTATGCTATATATTATTTTTTGCAGTAAGTTGTGCTTTGAATCTTGAAAATCCATAAACTTAAAATCCTAGCTACCCCCCCCCCCCCCCCCCTTTTTTTTTTTTTAAATTTTTTTTTTTTTT